CATTTACAATAATTTATTTTAATATTCTTTCTTTTTATCCTTTAAAATTTTTGCTTCATGTTCATTTTATATTTTATGTTATTTATAATTATTTATTTCCTATCATATATTATCCATAATATTCCCATTGAAGTTTTAGTCTAGTTTTAATGTAATCTATCAACCATAAATCCAAGTCGCTATATAAATATAGCTTGTTATCGACACTGTCTATGAAACACACTTCACTGTTCGCTTCGTTTATTCGAAATGCTTATTTATGGCTTTCACACCCAGAGCTCAAAGCATTCAATTAATTTGTCACTTAATTTGATTGTGTTACAAATTAAAAATAAATAAGAGAAGAAACAGTCGAAACACGCCAACTCCGTTTGCTTGGCTAAGCGAGTGTGCGTATGAGTGTGTGCATGTGTGTGTCTGTGTGTGTGGCACGCCTGTTAACTTTATCTCGTTTTCACTATGTTTTATAGCCCAAATACAAACACACACGCAAGTTCATTGATTTCATTTGTATCTTCTCTCCTCGCTTCTCTCTCCCTCTACTCTCATTTTTTGTAAACGTTTTTCACGCTTTCATTCGATTAATTGATGAATGAATTTTGTGTCAAAACATTTGTAACGTCTCTATTGGTGCACAGTAGCCCCAACTCCTCCCGCAGCCCACCCTGGCTGACCTCCATGAAAAACAAAGCTCAGCGTTTGCAAAAACAAAATAAAATAAATAAATATAGAAAAAGAAGAAGCAGCCCAAGTTAATGACCGCCTAATGAAAGAAACCTTCAACACGCACCTTGTGYGGCATTTCCATTTCCATTTCCATTTTTCATTCACTTTTACTTTTTCTTTTCTTTTTTTGTTCGCCATGCGTAACCAGCCCAAAAAGTAAAATCGTAATCGTCATCGAACTTGATATTTATGTTATTCATGAGTGTTTTTTTATTCATATTCATATTCATTTTCTATGCCTCAGTCATTAAGTTACAAATTGCTTTGCAATTTCCCTCATATGAAAATTGTTGGTAAGTTTACAAAAACTATCGGAACAAATTGATAAATATGTTGTAAATCATCGGCACAAAGAGGCTATTTTTTATTGCATACTTCATATTTATCACTTTAAATTATAAATAAAAAAACAATAAAATTATTTTTTGCCATTAATGTAAAGTAGCATCAATAGAATTTAATTTTTAATTTTATTATATTCCTTAAAAATAATTAAAATTGTTCATTCTTCCTTTTCATTTATTTATTTATTTTTTATTTAATTTATTCATTATTTAATTTAATAAAGATTAATCTTAGCCAATTCAAGATCAATATAGTCGATTCTTGGTTGTTGCATTGGCTAAATGCCCCAAGCAGGGTTGTGTGTCCCCGCTAAAGCCAATGTCAAACATTAAGCAAACAATTTAACTTCAATAAGCCAAAACATGGCACAAGTTGTGCTAAGCAGCCAGTGACAGCCAGTGGGCGGACAGTAGGAGGCGGGGTCATGTATGTTGCCGCACACATTGACGGCACACGCCAACACACACACACCCACACACACACTTGCCCCCTAAAGAAACAGTTATATATCAAGCGCAGCACAACTCGTTGAGCATCAAAGCGACGCGCGGCTAAACGTGCAACGTGTTTGCGCTACAAAACAAGTTGTGACATTTCTGTGCAGGTAATTATGGAGGAGGCAGGAGGCGTGCCAGCAGCAGTGGACTGGCAAGTGCTGTGCGCTGCAACGCTTGCGGCGCATTATGCAGAACATGCAGAGCACTGGCAAAGCCAAAAGGCATTCATAAACTATACAAAGCACATGAGAGCGCATGAAATTAGCGCTTACCGGAGCAGCGCAAAAGGAAGTGGGTTTTAATTAGGCAAACATGTTAAATATTGAGCAGATATTTAAATGAACTAAATCTATAGATGTAAGTGGGCAGAAGCAAGTACCTTAGGCAGGAGGATTCATTTAAGAATTGCATTTTTTTTAATAGGTTTGTCTTTTCGATTACTATCGATATTATCAGAAAGAAAAAAATATTAGAAGCAGCTGGTGAAATATAGCAATTAGCAGTAGTACAACATTTGTTTGCTCAATTTTCATAAGAAAAAGTTTAACACAGAATTTAAATAATTTTTATAATATAAAAAAAAATAAATACGCCTTAAAAAATTTCTGATCTAAACATACAAATTTTTTTAAATAAATAATTTTTTTTTTTAAATTTAATTTTGATTCAAATTGTTATTATATAAATATTTCCACATACTTTGATTTGCCTCTGTTCTTATAAATCTTTTATAAGGAAATTAAAGCTCTCTGTATTTATAAAAAAATATATATTTTTCCTCTACATATTATATTTAAGAGCATTTAAATATTAAGATTACTAAAAGCCGATTTCCTTTAAATTTCATATATTTTTTTCGTATACTTTATATATGCATAAATTTTATAAACCACTAAAGCAACCAAAAGGCTTTAAAAGCTGATGCCTTGAGTTGAACTCATGAAATTGCTTTGCAGCACAAGTTGATGAACTGCAATAAAACTATATATATATACACATACATACATATAAATAGTGGGAAATCAAGTTCACTAAACTTAGAAAAAAAGCCTAGGCCGTGGCTTAAACTGTGCATTTAACTAATAACGTTTTGGCTAAGCATTTGCAGTCAAAACTGACAAAACTCTTAATGCAATTGCTTGAATGTGCAACAAATATTTGGCTTTTAGCACACACTTCACACATTTACACACACACACACACACAAACATTCGCACAGAGAGAGCTCTATTGAGTGCATAATTTGCTTGCATGTTTGCCATTGAAAAAGCATTAGGGCGTTTTTCCACTCCACGCAGGTGTCGCCAGCAAGGCAACAAAAACCATATTAAAATGAAAATTAATTCAAAAATGTATATATAAGCATACGACACACAGGTAAATATATGTGTGGCGAATTTATGGCAGGCCGCAAACGTGGCATGCCCCCTCGAAGGCTAATTAGCGGCATTAATATTAATTAGAAAACTTGCGTCAAGACGAAAAACTTGTGAAACACCCGCAAAATGAGCCCAGGAGCCCAATTTGTAAGCGTGTGTGGGTATGAGTGTGTGGGTGTGTTGCAAAGTTTGTGTAACTGTTGCAAATGCTATTATTGTTGCTATAGTTGTTGTCAAACAAAAAGTTAAAACGTTGAATAAATACTTTAGATTTGCTTTCACAAATCGAAATAATTGAATCGAACGGCGCAGCGAATTCGATTTTTGATTGTCAAATATATAATGTAGATAGATATGTATATATACTCTAAAAATATATAATTTCATTATTTTTATTGCTTGACTTACCTTCGACAATGACTGCGGCTAAAGTTTTAGTGCCATTTTTGTTGTTGTTTGTTGCATTTCCTGTAGCATTTTTCACGCCTTTCTGTTGCGATGCTTTTGTTATAAGTTTGAGGGGTGTGTTTGATGTAGATGTTGTTGTTGTTGTTGTTGTTGTTGCTACCGAATGACGTTTTTCTGCAAAGAGAAAGGAAGAGAGAGAGAGAAATAGAGCGGTGATATTATAGCGATAACTGTTAACAAATATTCTTACTTCTATTTATAAACATAATTAATGTGTATCACAGATATTTTAAACTATGTATAAGAGATTGTTTTCGAAGTCAAAATTTGAATAATATTTAATATGCCCCTTCGTTATATTTTTGGGTATTTTCATTTGGATTCTATATCAAAGCTCTAATTTTGAATTATGACAATATTTTACATTCAAATTTTGTCCATGTTATGAACTAATCACATCTGTGTTTGCCATAACAAAAACTCACGATTAGATTTGCTGCTGATTTCCGTTTTCGGTTTGTACCATCTAAAAAATCGTTTAAAAAAGTGACCAAGTTCCATTTTTTTCAATAGTCGCGAGAGGATTAAGTATAAAAATTAAAATTAAAATTAAATAAATAGACACTAAAATAAATTTTGGTAAACAACAAGCAAACAACATATGCTACAACGCTTGCTACGACTGACAAGATTTTCACTTAATTTTGAAGAGGAAAAACCAATGAATCAATTGTCAAGTCCAGCATAACAAATAACAGCAGAGCCAACCAAATTTGTAAGAAGATTACAGAGTTTTTTAGAACAGCGCCAAATAGAAAATGAAAAATGTAAAAAATAACATAAATAAAGAAAATAAACACCTGTTGATAGCTTATGGTAGCACAGATAGCAGTCAGGGGCAAATTGCATAGCGCAAGCAGTGCAAGCCTGTTGCTGCAGCATGTTGACAAACAAACAAATCGCAATATAAACTAAAAATAATAACAAAAACAACAGAGGGAATCAAACAAGCAGTTCAGCAGTGAAATGTTGCGAAAAAGTAAGCAACATGCTGTTAAGCAACGGATCATCAGCTAGTTCGCAGACAGCAGCCCAAAAGCAGAATATATAAAACTTTATTGCAAGCAGTGGAAGATTGGTCGCTGGTATTTATGCAAAAGAGCATATAAGCAAACAGTTTAATAACAGAATGTTTACTTATGTATCAAAGTATAATGCATATTACATAAAGAGTTTCAATAAACAAAGTTCAATGTTGCAAGAATTCTGCACAACAGCAGCTGACAAGCAGTGTGCTCAGAAACAAGCAGTAAAACAGCTGAAAGTTTAAGCGAACAGCGCATACTCATTCAACAAAGCTCTTTGAAAACTATTGAACAGCTTGTAAGCAGTTCATGTTGCTGCAGCACGCAGTCAAGCAGCGCTCCTTAAGAGAAAGCAATTCAACATAAATAAGTGCATTTGCTCTTAGCTCGCTTTACTCATGGCAGTTTATCTACAGAAATAATTAGCATAATTTACTTTTATGTGCTCGACGAGCGAAATGTTTGTACGGCGAGGGAAGCAGCTGCTGACCAGTAACGCGTTTGTCTCTACCTTGTTTACCTACTCTTTTTTCTCTACGTTATTTTGTTTTTCCTTCTTTTTTGCTCAGTATTGTTTTAGTTAATTCGCGAGTGCACGACAAAAAGTTGTCGCGCGCTAGCTCAATGCTAACCGCAGCTTTAGAAGAAGAAGCAGCAGCAGCGACAGCACCGCTGCTGCAGTAAAGCGACAAAGCAGAGTCGGAAGCCATAAATGGCTAATACAAGTCTAGGCCACAATGCATACAATACACCCAAGTCGCCAAAAATAGAGGAAACAACATAAAAAAGCAAAAATTAATAAAGTAAGGGTGAACTACAGGAAAACAGTTACTACCAGCAAATACCCTGGAATCTAGTTGAATTTGTAGTTTTCCTATCCTAAAATAAATTCTATAAGAATTTCATACGTAAAGTTTCTTAATTGTTCGATCTTTAGTAATTTCCCTGGACGAACTATAATGAATGAGAAATTACTAGCATATGATGTACATAAAATTTACTAATATATTGACTCTATTATATTAATATTCTATGATATATATATTACTTCTGAACTGAGTTATCACAGCGAGGTTTTAGCTGAAATCCCAAATCTTAGCTGAGTTCATTACTCAAAGCTCAATAGGCTTTACTTAACTCTTCAAAAAACTAATATAAATCTACCCTCTCACACATTTTCAATAAGTACAGGGTATATGAAAACACAGAGAAGTTGCAATGTTGCGGCCAATGTCAGGCATCAAGCGGCGCCTAAAAAGCAGCTGCCAAGGCTAACCACAAGTAAAAGGAGAGACAGAGAGAGCGAGAGAGATAGCGAAACACACACATGCGGACCGAGAGAGAGAGAGAGAGAGAGAGAGAGAGAGAGAGAGAGAGAGAGATAACTAAACATTGTAGACAGGCGAAATGCCACTGAATTTTAAAGGTTAAGCAGGATCCTCGTAGCAAATCAGTTTTTGTTTTGCTCTATGCTGATAAGCAATTAGCCACTGATCAAGTCTAACCGGATCTGTGGCGCTGTGCAGCCTGTGAACAGATTGAAAGAGGTGACAAAGTGCCGTCACAATTAAGCCAATAAGACTTAAGCCTCCGTCCAAATCGATAAACACATAAACGTGGGCCCATTCAGCGGCACGTTCAACCTACGCGCATGTCCATTGAATCTTAAGCAGGTTAATTGCAAAATTACGTTCAATTTGCAGACGCGTTTGAAGAGTGCGCAAAAGCCCAGCCCCGATGCGTGTGTCCAAAGACCCCACGTCTATAAATAGCTACTGCGTCTTATCTCTCTCTCTCTCTCTGATAATATTCGAGCACTATTGGAATGTCGTAGCAGCCAAACTATTTGACCAGCAGGGGGAAGGAAAGAAGAAGACACCGAGAGAAGAGACAGCATTGATGTGCAGAATTTGGGCAGAGATTTCCAAGAAAGCATCGGTGGTTCAGTGGTAGAATGCTCGCCTGCCACGCGGGCGGCCCGGGTTCGATTCCCGGCCGATGCAAAAGTAACTTTTTAGGGAAAATCTCTTAATATGAGAGCTCAACCCAATTAAATAACACTTAAAGATATATTCTTTTGATCCAGCTAATAATTTGAAGAAGTTATAGTTGTAAGAGCGCGAGATCTATTTTGCAGTATATATTAACCAAATTTCATAGTCGCTAGGTTTATAGGCCAAAGTTTGGACGCCTCCCTCAAGAAAGCATCGGTGGTTCAGTGGTAGAATGCTCGCCTGCCACGCGGGCGGCCCGGGTTCGATTCCCGGCCGATGCAGAAATCACTTTTTGTATCTTACTATATCTACCTACAAATGGCAATCGAAATTTTAATATTTTAGTTTAGGGAATGAAACTCTTGTTTGTTTTGCGAGAAATACTGAAGTGCTACGAAATGAATTTTAAAATAAATTTATAATAGCATGTTTGGCCGCGATGATCTCAACAGCATCGGTGGTTCAGTGGTAGAATGCTCGCCTGCCACGCGGGCGGCCCGGGTTCGATTCCCGGCCGATGCAAATAGATTTTTTGCTTTTTTTTCTTGTTTGCTTTTACCTACTTTTTAAGCTTAATGGTGAAAGATGCATATCTTCAGTAGTTAACTGCCGCAAATTACAAAAGAAATAAAATCAGCGGCCCATTGCGTGATGCCCAAGCTAAACAATAGGCCGAGGTTTCAGCATTTGATTGTGCGCTCCCCTTTGGGAATTTGCATATGCAAAACGTGTTTCTACAATGCCTTTGCTTGTGCCTTTTGCCTATTCGTATTCGTATTCATGTGCAAATAACTGGAAAAACATGCGCAATAGTGCGAGTAAATTTAATTTAGTCTGCCACGATTGCAGTGCACTCGGCTTTGTGGGCAGACGAAATATACTATAGCAGAATATTCCAGCTGAGGCTGAGCGGGGCATGGGGTTTGCCACTTAATGCGACAATATTTGAGCAATTTACAGAGAAACTGCAAATAGCTCAAGCAACACAATGAATTTATCCATTAAATGTAATTTATGCAAAAGCAAAGAGAGAAAATGAACGGAAGGAGCAAAAAAAATTATTCTGCATCGGCCGGGAATCGAACCCGGGCCGCCCGCGTGGCAGGCGAGCATTCTACCACTGAACCACCGATGCTTGCATAGAGATTCATAGAGTTGACGGCAGAAGAGTCGGAAAAACTAAAAAACTTATGGAAAAACTTGATTGCTGTAGAGCCAGCCAGCCACAAATAGCAAGTTTTCATTTGAGTATAAATGGCCATGTGTGTGTATCTATGCCTGCGTGTGTGTGTGTAGCTATGTGTGTCGGTCTGTGATTGTCTTTCATATCAGCAAATATTTTATTTAAAAGCAAAAGCACTTTTGATTATTCAATATATGAAATGCCAAGTATGGCAGACGAGCTAATGTAATTATGTATTACGCAACGACTGATTGTAAATTGAAATATGGAAACATAAATTGATATGTGAAGCAAGCGATTTAAAAGGTTTTCAATTGAATTATGCCACAGGCATATGTTGCACAGTGTGAAATGAATGTGTAATGAAAAAGTTGCGAACACAAGTCCAGAAATAAATATAATAATGTATTGGATGTGATTGATATGAGAATGTTGAGTGCTGCCCGAGCTCAAGTTACTATCGAAAATGCTAGATTGTTGAAGACTTATCAGCTTACAAGCTATATGATAATATACCTTGGGTAAATTGCCAACATCATATAAATAAAAGTTTGCTTGATAAATCCAGGGATCAGATGTATACATAAGTATAGAAGAATCATTGGATAGTTTTATAAATGACCGTTAACTGCTTTTACTACTTTAATTTGGATATGATACCAATTATTTATAATGAATCTCTGTAACATTAATCCAATTTATTATTTATGTCGCATTAGAACCATATGTATATGTTCCCAAATCTAATGTAATGTAATAATCTAAAACAGAATTTCTCCGATTGCTACGCCCTTGACCAACAACAACTCTGAGAGTCCAAGTGAAATTGGCAAATCATTTTAAGTTCAGGTGTGCGATGATATTCAACTTCTCTTTTGGGCCATGCCCCCAATGAGTGCGCACCAACGGTGCGGCAGATATTTGGTGGGTGTGGCGAATGTAGGCTGGCCACCGTTAGTTTTCCCCGTTGGGAGTATGCGAATCACAGCAGCAAAAACAAACAAAAATCTGGAGCAAAAATTGTTTTTTCCTAGGGTCCATTGCGATAGAAATCTGTGTGCAGCAGCCAAACGAATTGGCCAAAAAGCTGACTCACAAACAGCCAAAATCCGTGACTCATGCAGGGCCCAGCGACAACTGAACGATACAGGAGCTACAGGCACACACACAGATGCAGATACACACACATATGCAGCTACAGCTACTGAGCTACTCGGCTCTGCAGACCCCCGTCAAAATTGAATTGCGAATGTGTCAATGACAACTGATGCGTTTGGCTTTTTATCTCCTCTTTCTCTTCTCCTTTTTTTCCCCAAGTGAATTTTGTTAATTTTTGGGGAGTGGACGACTCTTTATACTATATATACAAATTGCCAAAGCTGATGTCAGTCATTAAGGCATTTTTCTTTATTTTTCGAATGAGACAAATCTCCAAGGCTGTCAACAAAAAAACAAAAATGACTTCACTTTAAAGAGGTTTAAGGCGTTTTAAATAATTATTTCATGTTCATAAAAATAAATATTTAAACTTTATGTAGACAATTGGGAGTAGAAAATTTGGATTGAGTTTCGATATAGAATTTAGCATACATCTGATCAATTTTTACTTAAGCAAAAAATATTGAAAATAAATATGTGAATATTATACATCATATTTATATTTCTTTGCTTTTTATTTTATTATTACTATTATTTTTTGCATTTGAAAAATTACGTCTTTTCATATATCAATTTATATATATACTTACGTATAGCTGTTGGTGTTGGTGTTAACGATTTATTCCACGACGTTTGCCCCTTAGCGGTCTGCTGGGTCTTTGGCGGCGGTCCCAGATCCGTGGGCGATATGCTTAAGTTGCGCACATCCCGCTTTTTGGCAGCTCCTGCAAACAGAGACAAAATTGATGATGAGAAAAACTGATGACAAGTGAAAAACTGGTGACATTTTCACGCATATTTGCATGTAATCGATAAACGTAATGCTGTCTAAATTATGCGCAAACACGTCGAACTTTATGCGCTTTGCATTAAATAAAGGCAACTCAGAGGGGGAGTGGAAGAGAGAGAGAGAGAGAGAGGTGGAGTAAGGGAGGCCGCATCGCACTTTAAAACGTTTTCCCCTTCGCTCTTTAGATGCGGAGAGATTGCCCTGCTATTTGCATTTCAATGTTTGTCGATTAAAACAAAGCACTTGCATATAATTGAAGTATCCAGCTCCCACTCTATCTCTTGAATTTTGTATCCCAGCATCCAACACCAGGAGAAAATGTGTGAGAAAAAAGAGAGGGGATAAAAGGGGTGAAATTATATTATATGATGCGAAGGCATGTTGCGAACGCCAGGGGGCGCTTTATTATATCAAACATAATGTACACAAAGCATTACGCTAGCCAGACAAAATGGGAAGAGATATGTAAACTAGAGATATCATAATGTTGCGGGTTCTCAGCGTGAAGTTGCTTTGATATTGAGTTGGTCTCTTGTTTTTTTGGGGGAAGTTTTTTAAATTGAAGCAAATCTGTAAGCATTTAAGAGCTGATAACGAATTGAATTGATAGAAGTATTTCTCACTGCTTATAACCATGTGAACTCGGCTGTATGGGAAGATTACTTGTTGAAATTTTGTATATCTGTTGCTTCAGTGTTGGATAAGATTTTGCTAAAAGAAAAGCGGGAATAGTACCACATTATTATGTAGTTTTCATGACAGAACTTTTGATATATAACAGATAAATTATATATAGATATAACACTATAAGTTCGGTTTCCCTTAGTCATGCTTTATATGAGTGTCCTACGAAAGCCACGATGGCTTTTTATCGACAATTGATTATTTTAAACAATATTTAATATGTATCAAGCTATTTAACGAATTCTACGTTTTCTAAGCTCGTATATATTATATCGTATTTTTACGATCTCCTATCTATCCATTATATTTTAATTTTATACTACTGTTATCAGTAAACTGTTTTTCTAAAATATCATTCATCAAAAAATTTGTGATACCAACTTTATTATTAGCCAGTTGGATAAAGTAAATAAATAACTTTATATTATATATAAACTAGCATAAACAATAACAAACTTTGACTGGCAACCATATTGTATAGCACAACTACCGTAGCACAGCTTGTATTCGTCTACTAAATTTCCATTCCCTACTCAATTCATATAAACCAAACTCTAAACGAATAACTGTTTAACAATTACTACCACTATACTATTATAATAACAAAATATGATGATATGATATGATCTAATATAAAGCATATGACTTATTCTAAATTTTCAACAGTCATAAATAGTTCAAAATTTCCTCAAAATTACCCTAAAATCTCATTTAAATTGAATTTTTCACAGAGAAGACAAACTTTTAGCTCAAATCTAGTTAAAGTTCTTCTTGGTTTTTAGCTGCCGCAAAACTCGCACTTGTTATGGCGGCGCATTCAACATAATTTGCTGTGGCAACTTCATGTTAAACGATGTCTGCATGGTGCAACGCTGGGGAGCTGCAGCAACAACAAAAGCGATTTGCACAGCTGCATGAAATCCAATAAATTTTATTTTTAGCTGTCTGCTAATTGCACTGGACTCGGACTCAGGCTGGAGCTGGAGCTGGCGCTGCTGTTGTTGCTGGGATTTGAATGCGAACCACAGCAGCCCGCTGCACGTGTGGATTGCACCAACTTTTTATCAGTGGTGCAATGGTGGGCGGCGCTCTGCCTGCCCGCCTGTCTGTTCACCTCACTTAAGCCGCATAATCCCCTTTGCGGCTTATCAAAAAATGTGACCGCACAGTCAGAATATTTTCCCAAAAATATATCTTTCCTTTTGCAAAGCATTTTAGTCATTAAATTTCTATACTATATATTTAGTTTTTGTGCATGAGAATGTCGCTTGCATGTATGGGATAAATGTATATACATTTATATATTCTAGCCACTGTGCAGTATAAAACTAAAGTTCAGCCAAAATAATCAAATTGCTTTATTTAAAATTAAATATATTTTGTAGGAAATATATCGAAAATCTGAATAAATAATTAATCTTTAAACTTAGCAAAAGAATAATTATGATTAAATGTAAATATAATGATTGAGAAAATCATGATATTTATGCTATATAAGTACATATATAATATGCGTATCTTTAATCTATTTGATATGGAAATTTGATGTTGTCACAGTATTGAAAACATTCTTTATGATATAGATTTCAAGACTCACAAAGACTTATAGAAGACTTAGATTTACTTAGAAATATTGAAGATAGTTACTTGATTTATGTAAAGAATGTTAAAATATATTTA